TATACTTTTCATATGAATCTGTCCCTGCTGCAAGTGTCCACAGGTTCGAAAGTAAGGGGGATGGCCACCAAAAAGTGGTCTTTTCTGTGGTGGCCCCAGACTTCAAAGTATGAGCTGTTGCTGAGTGGTAGAATTTGTGCTTGGGAGACAGAAGATCCTAGTTCAGCCCTTGCCATTTCTGGTTCAAAGGATCTTGGGAAAGCCTCAGAACATGGGCACCCACTGCCAGTGAGGGCCTATTCAGACAATACATGAGGATTTCCATATCACAAGTGGTTTTACAGTCCTGATTCAGTGTGGGACCGTGACATGAAGTCAGGACAGTGGTTAAGCTGTGTCCCTAGGGCTGTTCTCCCATTCTAAAATGTCTCCACTGTAAAAACGTGTGTATATTGACAATTATTCAGTCAGATAGACCAATAGCATCAAACAGTGTAAGGCAGCTTCATGTGGTGTGTGCAAGTTAAGTGCAGGTAAAAATGGCAGCCAACCTACGGCAACCCCATAGGGTTTTCACGGCCAGAGACTGACAGAGGTGGTTTGCCATTGCCTTCCTCCGCATAGCAAATCTGGCCTTCCTGGGTGGTCTCCCATCCAAATACTAACCAGGGCTGACCGTGCTTAGTTTCCAAGGTCTGGCAAGACCAGGGTAGCCTGGGCTATGCAGGCCAGGGCTTCATATTAGGGTTGCCAAGTCGTTTTTGAGCCCCAGTGGGGGACTCCCGTCCGATGTCTAGAGTGCGTGCACAAAGCGCGCGTGCGCCACACGCATGTCACCCGGAAGTGACATGATGACACCGGGCATGCTGAGGGCGGGGCCACGACCATCCGAGGGAAAAACATAGAGTTTTCCTTCGGATGACCGTGCCGATCTGCCGGCGGCGGGGAACGGGCCTCTGGGGCGGGGGTTTCCCCACCCCCTGGGGGGACTTGGTAAGCCTACTTCATATGCTCTGTTTTGTCAGCACTCCCTTAACTGCCCTCTACACGTTTCTGCTTTGTTCTGTGTTGATTATAACAAATTGTTGTGCATTGTAATGGTTTAAGTTTTGGTAGTAAGCCACCCCCAGACTTAGGTTAGGAGGAAAGGCAAGCTGTTGATGTTTTAAGGGATAAAATATATGCTTACACTGTGGGAAACTCTTTCCTTGAACATCAAATCCTATTGGACTTTTGGGGATAGAAAATATACAACCAAAACCTTTGTGGTGTTCTTAGTGCAAAAATGAAGACAGAGTGAACACCGTGGTCTGTACAGAGCCAAGGTAAAGTTTTTGCCCAGGAAGGTTGCTCATTGGCCGTTGGAGATTTGATTGGCTGTGCAGATTTTACAAAGTTTTGCTTTGGCAGCAGCTGCCACCAGTGTTCCCTCTAAGCTGAGTTAGTGTGAGTTAGCTCACAGTTTTTTTTAGCTTCCAGCTCACACATTTTTGTCTTAGCTCAGGAAGGAGGGCTCCAGAGCAAAGTAATTTATGCAGTAGCCAGATCGCTTGCTCACAACTTTAATGCCAGTAGCTCACAAAGTAGGAGTTTTGCTCACAAGACTCCACAGCTTAGAGGGAGCATTGGCTGCCACCACAGTTCAATCATAATGTCCACATATAAAACTATGGTGCAGCCTCATTTGGAGTACTGTGTACAGTTCTGGTCACTGCACCTCAAAAAAGATAGCATTGGAAAAGGCGCAGAAAAGAGCAACTAAGATGATAAAGGGGATGGAACACTTTCCCTATGAAGAAAGACTAAAGAGGTTAGGGCTCTTTAGCTTGGAGAGACGATGATTGACGCGTGACATGACAGAGGCTTACAAAATTATGCATGGGATAGAGAAGGTGGAGAAAGTTGTACTTTTCTCCCTTTCCCACAATACAAGAACTCCTGGGCACTCAATGAAATTAATGAGCAGTAAGCTTATAACAGATAAAAGGAAGTCCTCCTTCACCCAAAGAGTAATTAATACATGGAATTCACTGCCGCAGGAAGTGGTGGCGGTTACAAGCAAAGACAGCTTCAAGAGGGGATTGGGTAAACATATGGAGCAGAGGGCCATCAGTGGCTATTAGCCACAAGGTATAGATGGAACACTCTGTCTGGGGCAAGTGACACTCTCTGTTCTTGGTGCTTGGGGAGGGACAACATTGGGAGGCCTTCTGACATTCTGGCCCTGCTGAGGGACCTCCTGGTGGCACCTGGGTTTTGGCCAGTGTGTGACACAGAGTGTTCGACTGGATGGGCCATTGGCCTGATCCAACATTGGCTTCTCTTATGTTCTATGTTCTTATCTTTACTGTGTGACTGAAAGGAAGCTGCAACAGCCATTTTGTGGCCGCACCCACCATACTTTGTCAGAATTGCAAAGTTTCCCCCAGTCTCAAAAAGGCTGGGGGCCCCTGCCCCAGAGTGCTGCTCCCAGTCAAAGTAGACTTCACCCTAGGCTGGCCATTCAGAAATGGGATAGGCAAACGTAAGGCAGATATCCTCAGAATAGCCTTGCATGGCAGCATTCACTGGAATCATGGGGAAAAAACCCACCTGCATGATGTGAGAATTTTTTTTTTAAGTTTCCTGTGAACATAAAGGATCCAGCTGCAAAAGAGGGTGCCTTCTGCATCTCTGCATGAGTTGCTGGCCATGTCTCCTTTTGAGGAAGCCGCCTGTGGGAGTCATTAATTCTGCATTGGCTGTGATTGAATCATGCAGCTGTTTCTGAATTTCAGCTGTCCTACGCTTTTCAAAGGAAGAGCAGGATACAGATTAGAATGGAAACTACTCAAATCACATATTGTCGAAGGTCCTCCCTGCTAAATGATGTTGTATGTATTGATTCTGAAACCATCTGACATGTATACAACTGGATGTGTCTGTAGACGGAGCTCAGAAGTTTCTCCCTTTAAAAATTGTAAGAATATCTAATAGAATGTGTAATCTCACAAAATAACAAGTTGAAGAGTTTTGGTGAATAGTTTGGGAACATTTGGGGACCCTGATCGAGTAGTAAGGTGGCATAAAAATGTTTTAAATAAAACAAAAAAATTATTTACTGGATGGGCAGGCTGAAATGGGGTCAGAGTTTGGGTGGACTTCAGTTAGTTTAGATCTGCCGAAACATTTTGAAAGGAAAGTTGGCTGGAGACCAGTTGTAATTCTGGGAGAGCTCCAGGCTCCACCTGGAGGTTGGCAACCAGACAGCCAACCCAGGGAGGGCGGTGGAACTAGATTCTGCCTTCAAAATGGCAGACCTCTTTTCCCCTTCCCTTTCAGCCTCTGAATGGGATTTTGAACAATTTAACCACTAAGCACCAGTCCAGCTGTTGGGAGGGAGGGAGAATTGCTATGCCTGCTCTGGTTTGGGAAATTCCTGGATATTTGGGGGAGGTGTCTGGGATTTGGGGAGGGATGTAACTCTGGAGTCTGCGGCAGACCACCGATTCGGAGGGCTGACTCCACAGAGTCCACCCACTGAAACCGCTGTTTTCTGCAGGAGAACGGAAGCACCAGTCCAGCTGTTGGGAGGGAGGGAGAATTGCTATGCCTGCTCTGGTTTGGGAAATTCCTGGATATTTGGGGGAGGTGTCTGGGATTTGGGGAGGGATGTAACTCTGGAGTCTGCGGTAGACCACCGCTTCAGAGGGTTGACTCCACAGAGTCCACCCACTGAAACTGCTGTTTTCTGCAGGAGAACGGAGCTCTGTGATGTGCACATCAGCTGTAATTCCAGGAGGACTCCAGGCCTCACCTGGAGGTTGGTAACCCTATTTGCTGGGCTATGGGGAAGGGGGAGAAGATTTCTTTATTTATTTGATTTGTAACCCGCCCTCCCCTGTGCAGCAAGGCTCAGAGTAGGGAACAACACTTCCAAATAAAGAACATCCACATTACATTTCTATGAGGTGATTCGCATACATGTTTAGGCATTCAGTGACAGTTACTGAATACACTACACCTTCCAACTCTATGGCTCTAGGAAACAGCAGCTTCCGAGGGCGGATTCCATGTGGCATCATATCTCTGCTGAGCTCCCTCCCCTCCCCAGACTCTGTTCTCCCCCAGGCTCTGCCCCCAAACCTCTAACAATTTCCCAACCCAGAGTTCTAGTATTCTGGCAGAGAGGGGGAAAGTTCTCTCTATCCACTTTCTCCACCCCCATATGGAATGTTATCATGCCTCCTTCTCCACGGCTCCAGTCATGAATCAGACAGAAAATACACTATTCTGTTGTGGGGGTCGGGGAGGGCAAACCCAAGCAAATTTTGGATCTCCCCAAGCCCTCACCTGTGTGGGAGTTTGCTTGCTAATTGCCAGGATGTTGCCTTTTTTTATTCCGGCCACGTCAGATCCATATCTGAAGGACCGCCTCTCCCTGCATGCTTCATTCTTCCCAGCAAGGCCTATTGTGAAGTACCCTTTTTGGTGAAGATATATTTGCAAGGGCCACCAGCTGGCAAGGGCCACCAGCTCCAGCCTGGGAAATACCTGGAGATTTGGGGCCGCTGCCTTTGGAGTGGGGAATTAGGGGAGGGATTTCGCCTAGCATCTGTAGGATATCATCGACTCTGCTGAATATTCCTCCAGGGGAAATAATCTCTGTAGTCTGGAGACCAGTTGTTATGCCAAGAGAACTCCAGGTCCCACCTGGAGGCTGCAGCTTTAGCTCAAACCTTTTCAGAGGCGGCCTCTGGAACAGCCTCCTAGGGGGGGTCCCCTGGAATTACAGCTCTTCTCCAGACTACAGAGATCAGTTCCCCTGGAGAAAATGGATCCTTTGAAGGGTGAACTCTGTGGCGTTGTGCCCCACTGAGGCCCCTGTCCTCCCCAAGCTCCATACACTCATATCTCCAAGAGTTTCCCAGGCTGGATCTGTCAGCCCTACGCCCCCATCTCCTGATGGTGGCC